TGATTGTAGATTTGTTTGTTTCATCCTGCTTTTTTGTTTTATTTGGTTATGTCTGAGAAGGAGGGCTGGGCATTCTTTATTCTTGGCTCATCTGTGGCCATGATACTTCTCACCAACTTGTCAAATGAGCAGGGCTAGTCACTCAGCTATGGTGCAGCAGGGCATGTGCAGCAGAAGGGGAGAGGCTGGAAATGGTTGTGGCATATACTGGTCCCGACAGGGCAGGATGGGGTCAGTGCATGGCAGGTTCTGGCAGACTGTGCCTGTGCTGCTCGGGGGTGTGATGCTCACAGCATGATGCTGATAGGCAGGAGTGAGTGGGGAGGTTGTAATGTGTGGAGCTATTTTGTTGTGGGAAAGAAGAGAAAGAAGGCCTAAAGGGAAAAAAAAAGTCCTGATGAAACCTGCTATTGGAGTGGCACAGACCTGGGGAAGCCATATGCCAGTGGCTTTCTAGCCAGGCAGTGAGGCACAGCCCAACAAGAAGGGACAGATACGGCACACACAGCTATGTTGGTGGGAGAAAGGAAAGGAAGGAAGGGAGACAGAAATAAGAAACTAGATTAAAAAGGAGAGAGAAAGGCACATGCAGCTAAGTGGTCAGGAGAAAGTAATGGAAGGAATGTAGAGACAGAAAAGAAACTGAGAAAAAAAGAAAAAAAAAAGATGTCAGGTGGTTGGAAGGAAAGAAGGGAAGGGAGGTAGAGAGAGACAAGAAACTGAAAAAAAAAGAAGAATGAAAAAATGCCTTAAGGGAGCCCACTGGATGTGGGTCCCCAGCTAAGTGGCTCTGCACAGCCCTTCCAGAAGGAGCAGAGATGGCACATGGCGCAGGGTGCCAGGTGTTTAGGGGAAGGGCAAGGAAGGGAGGTAGAGAGAGACAAGGAATTGAGAAAAAAAAGGACAGAAAAGAAAAATGCCCCAAGAGAGCCCACCAGAAGGTGTACCCAGCCTAGTGGCACTGCACAGCCTGTCAAGAAGGAGTACAGATGGTGCACAGTACTAGGTGTTCAGGAGAAGGGTAAGGAAGGAAGATAGAGGGAGAAAAGAAATCGAAAAAAGAAAAGAAGAGAGAAAAAAAGAAGATGCCCCAAGGAAGCCCACTGGTGTGGTGTCACAGACCAGAGAAGTGGCTACCCAGCCATGTGGCACTGCAAAGTCCATCTAGAAGAGCAAAAGATGGCACACACCACCAGGTGTTCAGGAGAAAAGAAGGGAAGAATGGTAAAGAGACAAGAAATCAAGAAAAGAAGAAAAATTCCCAAGGGAGCCCACTTACTTGGTAGTGCAGACCTGGAAGTGGTTTCCAAGCTACTAGGCACTGCACAGCCCATCTAGAAGGGGCAGAAATGGCACACAACACCAGGTATTCAGGAAATAGGAAAAGAAGGAAAGTAGAGACAGAAGAGAAACTGAAAAACAAAGAAAAACAAAAAGTAAAAAAAGAAAAAGAAAATGCTCCCAGTAATCCCACCGTGGTGGCGGGACAGATAGGGAAAGCAGTTCCTGAGCTGAGCAGCACTTCACAGCCTGTCAAAGAGCAGAGATGGCACATGGAGTCAGTTGTTTGAGAGAAAGGAAGGGAAAGAGGTGAGAGAGAGAGAAGAAACCAAAAGAAGCTGATAAAAGCAACAATAGCCACAAAAAAAAATGGCATTGAAGGAGCTGGCCAGTGTGGTCTGGGCGGATCCAAACGGCAGGAAACTGGCACCTCCCTGGCTGAGCAACTGCGGCCCACTGTGAAGCAGCCCAGCAGGGGGAAGAAGGATGGGGGGGGGAGTGTGTATTTCTGGTTATCAGGTGCTCTGTCTCCTGCTTGGAGCTCCATAAAGCTGCCTTCTCATACTCCCTGTCCACCGATCTCAGTGGCTGAGGAGTCCAAGACCGCGAATCCATGACCCATTAGCTGATAGAGGACCTCCACTCTGTATCCCCCCTCCCTGTCTATCCTCTGTCAGTTTCTTATTCCATTTGGTGCTTGGTTGAGTTCTTTATCTCTTCATTTGACCCTTATGGTTCCAGAATTGACGTTTGTCTCTGTTTTATTTAGTTTTTCAGGTCTTTGCTGTGGAGGGACGGCTTGGTGCCTCTATCTATAGTGTCATGTTGGCTCAGACCATTCTTCCCACTTTTTAAAACTTTTTCAAAATGTTTTAGCTATTCTAAGTTCTTTGCTTTAGCTACAAACTTATAATAAGCTTGTCTATGTCTAAAAATACCTTGCTTGGATTTTGATAAGGACTAATTAAAGCTAGAGATCAATTTGGGGAAAATCAACATGTTTACTATGTTGAGTCTTCCAGTCCACGAACAGAGTATATTTCTCCAGTAGTTTAGATTTTCTTTGATTCCTTTCATCAGCATTTTGCAATTTCAGTATACATATCCAGTACATGTTTGATATATTTATAACAAATGAATTGCTGTAGAGTTGACTCCAACTCATGGCAGCCCCATGTGTGTCACTGTAGAACTGAGATCCATAAGTTTTCAATGGATGATTTTTCAGATGCAGATCATCAAGCCATTCTTCTGAAGTGCCTCTCAGTGTACTTGAACCTCCAACCTTTTGGTTAGCAACCAAGCATTTTAGATTTATTACTATTTCATTTTCTTAGGAGTGATTGTTAATGGTATTGTTTTCTCAATTTCAATTTCCACATGTTCATTTTTAGTGTAGAAAAATGTGATAGATTTTCATGTATTAATCTTGTCTCCTACAACTTTGCTGAACTCATGTATTAGTCCTGGAAGTTAATTTTTAGCTTTTTTGTTTTTGTATATTCTTGAGATTGTTTATGTCAACTATATAGCATCTGAAAACAGAGACAGTTCTATTTCTTCCATTCTGATCTGTATGACTTTTTTGTTTTTCTTCTTGTCTTAATGCTCTAGGTAGGACTTCCAGTAAGATAATGAGTAAGAGTGATGAGAGTGCACATTTTTTCCCTGTTCCTTATCTTTGGGGGAAGTTTTCACTCTTTCACCACTAAGTATCATGTTAGCTGTAGTTTTTTTTTTTGTTTTCTTCTTCTTCTTCTTTTTTTTTTTTCAGATTGTCTTTATCAAGTTGAGGAAGATTTCCTGACCTCCTAGTTTCTAAGAGCTTTTATCATGAATGAGTATTGTAGGTACACATTTAAAAACAAAATACAATTTCAGAATATGGAAGAAAGTTTTCAAATAGATTTTCTTGACAGGACAACCTGAAGCTGTGAAATAGAATTATCTCCTTTCTTTTCCTTCCATTCATGGGGGAACAAGTTAGGGATAATTTCATTTTTTTCCAGAAAAGCAAATAAATGTTTACTATTCTGGAAGTGCTATGTGAAAGAAATCAGTCACAAAAAACCACTTATGGCATGTTTTCACTTAATTTTCAAAGTATTAACTACTATTTTAAAAAAATTACCATTAACAAGGCATCTCTTATTCAAGTTGGTCATGCTATAGATACATATAAAGACAGAACTTGTCCCAGCCAAATTCATCTTGCTATGCCAGCAATCCCTTCTACTCTTCACAGGCTTGGAGTATGTACTAGGTCTTGCTCCTTTCTGCTCCCCTGGAAAAAGAATTTTTCTACATTGTAGACATTTGTGTTTAAAAGAGGATTGGCAAATATAGGTTGGAAATCACACCAAGTGGCTGGGTGTCCAATCTCACAGGGAGCATTTGGGGGAAATCTTGATTGAACATCTAACCTAGGCTCTGCTACCTAGTAATCAATCGTCAATCATTTATTGAGTAAATGATGCCTGTACAATTAATAATCTACAACTGTGAAGACCCCTGGAATTTACATAGGGCAAATGTCTTTTGCTTTGAATTACAGATTATTGGTCCATTGGGATTTATGAAATCTGCCGTTTCCTTGTCCAAGGATGAAGAATGGAAGAGAATACGAACATTGCTGTCTCCATCCTTCACTAGTGGAAAACTCAAGGAGGTTAGAAAATAAGAGGATTGCTAATTAGAAACTCAAGGAAACAATCTGGCAGAGGTAGAAAATGAGGTCTCTTTACAAGGGGTAGTTAGCTGAGTTTGAACTTCCTTAAGATAGCATTTTATCTTTATGTACCAGAAGATACATTATAAGATTCATGATAAAATGTCACTTACTGCTTCCTGCTTGGGTAAGCCAGGTTTCTAGGTCTTGAGTCTCCATATTTACAAGTGGGTGGTGGTGTGTTTTGTGTTTAGATGTTCTGCATCATCGGCCAGTACGGAGACATGTTAGTGAAGCATCTGAGAGAGGAAGCACAGAAAGGCAAGCCAGTCACATTGAAAAGGTAAGTAGAATTGTGGTGGCTAGGATTCTAAGCTCTGTCATAAGGCCTTCCAGCTGCCTGCCGCTGAGTTAAATTTCCAATTTTGAGTTTCTCTAGTGATGAAACAAACATGTGAGCGTGGTGTTACAACGTGAATGGGCTGCCTAAGAAAGGTGGCTCACACTAAATGGTAGGGCAGGAAGGAAAGAAAGGGTCTTCTCTACTGTGTACATGAGCCTGGATTAACTTATCTGCTTAATTGTCAACTTATGTTTTCTAGAAGACAAAAAATAAAAACAAAACAAGCAAACAAAAAAACAACAATAACAAAAAACTAAACAAAAACTTTTAGAAAGAAGAAACATGATTGACAGTATAGAAGTGATGAGTGTAATTAGTTTGAAATAGTGGGAGTGGAAAAGCATTTCGTTCTTACTGGCTGGCATTCGTTGAAGCAAGAAAGTTCGAATGTACAAGTTGGAATGACTTAAATCTGTTCATGATTTTGTTGAAGATACCAGCAAAATGCTATGTATTATTCTCCTGTGGGTATAGACATTATGGGGAGGTAAGACTTAGATCTATTGTCACGTTTGTGGACTCTTCTAGGAAGAATTCATTATTCTATCCTTTGTACTGCTCCAGCACTGCTCTTACAGACCTGCCATCTTTCACACTCAACACTCACTGCAGTAGTTTGTCTCATCTGTGGGTGACTGAGCTCCTGGAGCTCAGAAGTAAGTCTAATGTATCTTCGTGTCCCTATCATCCCTAGCACAGGAAAAGCTTCATCATTGTCACCTGATAAATGGTAAATGAGTGGGTGTTATGGACACATATGAATGACCCTCAGCTTATCCAGCAGATGATTTTGAAAGTGTGTAGTTCTTTACTTATCTTTATCCAGACATACGAATTAACATGCTCTTCTTGCTAAATATGTAGCAGAGGGATAGTGATGAGATACTGATGTTTAATTTCTTTGTTTTTCTTTCTCTACTTAGCATCTTCGGGGCTTATAGCATGGATGTGATCACTAGCACGTCATTTGGAGTGAACATCGATTCCCTCAACAACCCACAAGATCCCCTTCTGCAAAACGTCAGGAAGCTCTTAAAATTTGATTTTTTCGACCCATTGCTTTTCACAACAAGTGCGTGGAGTACTATTTTTTCTTTTAATAACAGTTCAATTGAGATATAATTCACACACTGTACAATGCAGCCAATTAAAGTGTGCAATTCAGTGATTTTCAGTATTTTCAAATACATGCAACAGTCACTGCAGTCATATTTATAAGGTTTTCATAAACTCTAGAAGAAATCCCCTACCCTTTAGCTATCACTCTTCTATTTCTCAGTCCCTACCAATCCTTCACCCCTAGGCCATCACTAAACTACTATCTGTCTCTATATTTTCCTACACTGGACATTTTATATAAATAGAATCATTCAATATGAGGTCTTTTGTGGCTGGTTTATTTCACTTAGCATCATGGTTACAACGGTCAACCACGTTGTAGCACTTATAGATACTTCATTCCCTTTTATGGTCAAATAATTTTCCATTGTATGGACATACTGCATGTTATTCATCAATTCTTCAGTTGATGGACATTTGGGGTATTTTTTTCTGCCTTTGACTATTATGATTATTGCTGCTATAAATATTTGTGTATTAGTATTTGTGTGGATATGTGTTTTGAATTCTTTTGGGTATACACCCTAAAGTGGAATTACTGGATTATGTAGCAAATCTATGTTTAGCTTATTGAAGAACTGCCAAACTGTTTTCCACAGAGGTTGTCCCATTTTACACTACCATCAGCAGAGTATACAGGTTCTAATTTCCCCACATCCTCCCCAACACATGTTATTTATTATTATTATTATTTTATACTTTTGCTTATAACTACTCTTGTGGGTATGAAGTGGTTTCTCACGTGGTTTTGATTTGCATTTCCCTAGTGACGAAGGATGTTGAACATTTTTTATGTATTTATTGGCCATTTGTGTGTATTTGGATAAAAGTCTATTCGTGTCCTTTATCATTTTCTAATTGTTTTTTGTTGTTGTTGTTGTTGAGATTTAAGAAGTTTTTTTTTTTTTTCACATATTCCATATAGAAGTCCTATATACAGGTATGATTTACAAATTGTTTATACCATTGATAGGTTATCATTTCATTCTGTTGATAGTGTTCTTTGAATAATAAAAGTAGTTTTAATTTTGTGATGTCCAATTTATTGACATTTTCTTTTTTTGCTTGTGCTTTTCGTGTCATATCTGATTCCACTGCCAAATAAGAGATAACAAAAATGTATCTCTATTTTATTCTAGGAGTTTGAGCTTTTACATTTAGGTCTTTGATCCATTTTGAGGTTATTTTTGTATATGGTGTGAGGTAAGGGTCCATTTCATTATTTTGCATGTAGTTATCCACTTGTTCCAGCACCATTTGGTGAAGAGACTCTTGTTTCCCTGTTGAATGGTCTTGGAACCCTTGCAATCATCATAGTCACATAAGTATATTTCTGGTATTTCTACGATATTCCATGGATCTCTGTGTTTATCCTTATGCCTATACCACACTGTCTTGATTATTTTAGCTAAGTAAGTTAGATCTGGAAAACCCCGTGGCATAGTGGTTAAAGACTATGACTGTTAACCAAATGGTCGGCACTTCAAATCCACCAGGGGCTCCCTGGAAACCCTATGGGTCAGTTCTACAAGTTTATAATCAGTTTTGAAAGAAGGAAGTGTGAATTCTCCATCTTTGTTTCTTTTCAAGATTGGTTCAGCTATTCTGGGTCCCTTGCTATGCCATAATTTTTTTTTTTTTTTTTAGTATTTGTCCAGTGTATTTTATTCTTTAGAGAGATATCCACTCTATGCTTATTAATTTAAAATTCACTTTTAATGTCATACTTCACCCTCATTCTTTATTATTACTAAGAAATCTCAATGTAAATCTTTTTTATTGTGCTTTATATGAAAGTTTACAGAGCAAATTAGTTTCTTTTTCAACAATTTATACACAAATTGTTTTGTGACATTGGTTGCAGTCCC